AGAGTTCCTGGGGAAGATGCTGCTGGGTGCAGCTGATCTCTTGATGGATTTTGCTGATAAAATGTCAGTGGAGTTTGGCAAGCAGAACACTTGGGAAGAAATTCAGGCACACCAGTAATGCTGTGAATAGAGASGGATGGATATGGGGGAGATGTGCACTGGTGTCAGAGAATTTAYTAATTCCTAATGGAGTCTTTTGTGCTGCTGCTGGGATTCAGGCCAAASCTGATTTCTTTGTTTTTGTGCTGACCTTGAAGAGATGTTGAGATTTAGAAATTCCTTACCCCACTTTTTCTGTTGGTTTGATCTGAATGTGTTTRGTGTTCCTTTTGGGACCCAGAAAATACTTTTACTCCCTCAGCAGCAAGTATTGCAGGAGCTGCTCCTAMTGTTACATAAAGGGAAGTTATGAAAATGTAACATTAGTTTTAAAAGATTATTTTAGGCTTGGAAGTTGGGTTAATAGTTGTGGGGATTGAAGCACTGCTGATGCAAGAACTGTTGTGCTAAAAGTAAACTGTGAAATGAGTTCATTGTGCCCTCGAAGCTGTCTGCTGATAGAGGGAGACTGGTAAATAAAAAAAATATAAGAAGAGAGCATTGTGTGTTTTCAGCTGTGGTTCAGGCAATGGTTGGAGCTTTCCCCTCCTAAAAAAGAACTTCCACAAGGTGGCAATCTGAATATGTGAAACACAGAGGATTATTATAGGATCATTTATATGCTACCAAGCAGATGTCACAGTTAACTGAGTAAATGGGGGTTTAGTTCTGTTTTTTTATAATATGGGCAACTCCTCATTTTTTTTATTTTGGAGGGTTTTTACCCCCACATTTACTTGGCATGATTGCCTTGGGGTTTTGCACTGAAGATTCCACACGGGGAACCCGTTACAGTTTGAATGCTGTGAAATGGGACTCTTAAAAAATCTGTTAAACTTCTTGAAACCTGCATTTCCTCCCTTCTGCTGTGCAGAGGGTAAGTTCTGCCTTCTGCTTTAATAATGGGCTGAAAAGGGAGGAAATTGGAGCTCACAAATGCTGCTTCAGGGTCTCAGGTGCTCTTTGGCAGAGAACAGGGGAACATGTGGGAAAATGAATGTTTGATAGCAAAACTTGCAGCCTGGCACTAAAAATGGATGAAATGAGAGTTTTACTCTCCCGAAGTGGAATCATGAGCAGAACAAAACTTGGCTGTGCAAATCGGAGGGGATAAGTAATTGAAAGTAATACTTTGTTCTGGGAATACTTGTAACTTATCCCAGAAATACTTTGCATTTCAGTGGCTTTTTATTGACTACCTGTTCTGTTTAATAAATGAACCTGTCTGATTCCTGCCAACTGCATKATGAATTTAATTTGCTTCAGCATTTCTCAGTCATTCCTGAAGCWATTGCAATTAACCTGACTGCTGCTTGTACATTTTATATTATATCATATTTATTTATATTTTATGCTCCTTCCTGCAGTATAAACAGAATGATTTGAGTGCAGTGGTGTGAAATAGCAGAGAATGTAGGGGCTGAGGATATCCCCAGGGATAGTCATCAATATTATTCAGTAACACGTTTGATAATTTGCAGAATGAAGAGTTGTGGTCAGGTTACGAGCTGGGGTTCTCTGCTCTCTTTGTAGGGGCAGCAATGAAGAAGAAGCAGTCCTGAAAACAAACAAGCAGGTTTATTCCCTGCTGCTTCGTGCCACTGCCAACAAGGGGCTGTCCCTGCTGGAACGCACAGAGCTGATCCTGAATCTGCTGGAGCAGCTGAGGAATAATGAGGGCAGTCCTGGAATCCAGTGACCACAGCGCTGCCAGCAGCAGCACCAGTGCCTTACTGGGAGCACTGGGRGTGTTCCCATGGGATCTTTGTGTTKATTGAGGGTGAGTTCTCACCACTGTTACATTGTACAGCTGGGAAAGCACAGCGATTCCTTTTTATGCCCTCACAGCTCTCATTGTCCAGCTCCCAGCATTTCTTTGTTTGAAATGCAAGCTTGGAGTTCTGGAGCTAAAAATGTAACTTTTTCACCATGGGGAAATTCCTGATTTTTYCTCTTGCAGTGATATCTGTGTTTTGCATAGAGGTGTAACCTCAGAGCTGCTCTGGTTTGATATTTAATGAAATGTGTTTTGTGATCAGGGCTGTACTGGAACACTTTCACTGCAAAGGGCAGCCCCAGTTGTACCAGGAGATTTCTGTGGAATATGTGGAAGCACTTCTTAATCCCAGGGAGGATCCTGCACAAAAACCTGTGCCTTTCTAGCTTTGATGTGACTCTTGCAATTTATCAGCCACCTCTGGGATTTTGTTTTGGAAAGTGAATGGTTTCACCTGTGTTGGAATTGATCAAGAATAGTATTATCTTTTTCAGACTTGAAACTGTGAATAAAAAAGAWGATATTTTTGAATTAAAATTTATTTATTAAATATAAACTCATCAGTCTGACTTATTTTTCTTGGTTATGACCCTCCTCAGAGCAGCAAATTGCTCAGAAWTAAAACTTTGAAAGACAGAAAATAATCTGTAAACTCCAACCTAACACTGAGTGAGGTCTTAGCATGTGAGGACTGTTTTTTGCAAATATGTATTATTTGAAGATAAAATTTTCCAGAATAGGACATCTGATGTCCTGATGTTCTTTTACAAATCAGTGTGGTTCATTATTGCATAGTAACAGTATAAACCACTTTATATAAAGGTAGAAATGGGTTTTATGTGCTTTTTGAAGTCCCTTCCAACCCACGCCATCTTGGGATTCTGTGATCTTCCAGCAGTTTGTATCCTGAGATTTCTCTCAGCTTGAGAAATGGGAGTGCTTTATAAGGCAAACAYTTGTGCAGTATGATGGAGGAACCCACACCCCACACCCTGGAATTACCCAGTTTATAGGGGCATAACTGGGSTCAAGTTCCCTCTTGTTCCAGCTGTGGGGCCTCTCGTGGTTGGAAATTCAGGTCCCATCCTCAGAATTCAACAGAACTGTGCAGCAAACAAGGGTTTCTCTGTTATTCCAGGAACTTAGTGGTGTGCTAACAACACAAATGACTTTCAGGAGGATTATAAATCAGTATATTATGATTCAAATCTCCTGTGAAGGCCTGGCATTAGCTGGAGGGAGCGTTTAGTGCTAAATAGGATTATTTTTTTCCCTTTCAGAGATAAACAATTAAAGCATAAACCACATCCAAAACAGACAACTCTAACACCATTATTAACTCTGATAAGCCAGTTTATTTCCCTGTTAATAAATCCTTCTTCTTAACAGGAACAGAAACCAAAACCTAATTTTTAAAACTCTGTACTGYAAGGGTAACAGGGGACAACAGCTGACCTGAATTAGCCCCACACAGTGCAACTTCACTGCAAACAATTCTATTCCACTAGGAATCTACAATTACCATTTTTACACAAATATTTGAAAAGCAGAACAATAAACAAGTTTACAAAAGAAAATACTTCATTGGAATACTTTTTTTTTTTCCTACAAAGGAAGATGTGCAAGTAAAATTGGTCATACAGAGCAATTCCAAGCTGACCTGTGTGCTGGGTGATACCTGAGGTGAGGTGTGGGACTGATTTCAGTCTCTTGAGTGTTCACAGCTGCTTTTCAAGGATAAAATACTCAACAGTGCACACACACTGAGAGGGGAACAGCTGGATGCTTTAAGAGATGCTGGACAGATTCCAAACTTCATAGATACTGAGGTGCAGCCTTCTCATGCCCATCCCTGACAAGAAGAGTGCTGCATATTCCCAAAAATCCACTTTCTTGCAGATTGGAAAAGCCCTCCTCGAGCAGCTTGGTGGCAGGCTGGGCTCTGGTTAGGGCAGAGAGCAGTTCTGGGGGTGCAGGGCTCTGTGGATGCCAGCTGCCAGGTCCTGGGGTGTGGGGCTCCCTGCAGTGCAGCTCACAGTGATTCCTGCAGCTTCCATGGCCTCTGCTGTGCTGGGACCGATGGCAGCGAACTGCAGGGACAACATTTGCACTTGAAATGCTCAGGCACAGCATCATCCCTCAGTCTGTGCCCTCCCAGCCATCAGCTCTCACAGCCCAGCTTCCTGAGCACCACTGACCAGCTCAGGCTGAAGATTTGCAGTATTAAAAGCCACCCATCAATGGAGCTACTTAGAAATTACTTAGGGGAGATTAATATTTATCTCACCATTACAAACATTGAAAGCTCTGAGTCCCAYAGAACAGGGAAAGTGAGAGGAATTTTAATCAGCTACAGCCTGGTGCAAGCAAGAACTACTCACACCTTCACAGCACTAARAGAAAATAAAGTTCATCCCAATGGAAGTGGGGTAAATTGGATGGGAAAACATTCCAGATGAAAACMATTTCTCTTTTTAAAGCCAAGCTCTCAGCTAAATCCAACCAAGGCCAGGTTGGGGAGCAACCTAGTCTAGTGGAAGGTGACCTTGCCCATGGCAGTGG